ACACACACACACACACATATACACACACACATACTCACACTCATCCACTCTCACACACTCACACACAATCACTCTCACACACTCACACACAATCACTCACACTCATCCACTCACACACACTCACACACAAATACTCTCACTCACTCAAACATTCACAATTATCCACTCACCCACTCACACATTCACACTCACTCACTCACACATTCACACACACACTCACTCACTCACCCACTCAGTCAGTCAGTCAGTCAGTCACTCACCCACTTACACACACACTCACTCACTCACTCTTTCATTCACACACTCACCCACTCACACACACACACACACACACACGCACACACACGCACACACACACACATTCACACGCACTCACTCATATACACACCCACTCACACACTCACTCACCCACTCACACACTCTCACACTCATCCACTCACCCACTCTCACACTCATCCACTCACCCACTCACTCACCCACTCAATCACTCACTCACTCACTCTCACATTCATCCACACACACACACTCACACACACACACACACACACAGACACACACACGTGAAGTTCTGATGTTTTTGTGAGTAGCTGCTCAGGTGATCTGAGGATACGTTTCTATTACAAGTCAGTAATAGACTTTTTAAATTAGATTTTATTTAATCTCTATTTCCTTTTCCCCCCCTTTTTTTCTTTCTTTTTTTTCTCTTTTTTTGGTGATTTGAGGATGCATTCTATTACAAGTCAGTAATAGACTTTTTAAATTTGATTTTATTGAATCTTTTTTTTTTTTTTTTTTTTTTTTTTTTTGTTTTTATTTTTTTTTGTATTCAGTAATAGACTTTTTAAATTCTATTTTATTTAATCTTTTTTTCTCCTTTTTTTTCTTTCTTTTTTTCTCTTTTCCTGTCCCCCGGTCAGGTTTGGCATTAACCCTCTTACTTCTGTAACAAAAATACATCTTAAATAAATAATAAAGCAGTATTGGATGATTAAGGGAGGCTTCTCACCCTGACAGGCCTCCCTTGGCAAACACAAAATGTCGGGCAGAGCACTTGGATTACAATTCTGTTGCCATAATGCTGAACACAAGGGGTTAAAGAAATAAATTAAAGTAAATAAATAGATAAAGAAGTCAGTAAGTTCTGCTTGAGGTTTTTGCCTGTTAAAAGGAAGTTTTTCCTTGCCTGTGTCGCCTAGTGCTTGCTCATGGTGGGAATTGTTGGGTTTCTGTAATTAAGTTTAATTTAAGGATAAATAGCAATATGCCTTATACCAACAACTTCCATTCCTTTAAATGTACTAAAGCTAATATTTCAGCTCCTCCTCTCATCTTTGAGAATTGTTGGGTTTCTGTAATTCACTTCAGAGTGGAGTCTGAGCTGCTCTGTTTGGAAAGCGCTGTGAGACAACTGTTGTTGTGATGTGGCGCTATATAAATAAAACTGAATTTAATTGAATGACCGCGTACTTGTGTTTAACTGTGTGTCCAGATGTCCGGTGGCGTCCCTCTGCTACGTCCCGCGCGCGGCCTCCAGCTCCTTCCCCTGTGCGGGGCTCATCGCCGGGTCCCTGGAGGGGGGGTACTTCTGGGAGCAGGTGAACGAAACCACCTACAGGCCGCACTTCCTCCCGCTGGAGAACGGGGGCTGCACGGACATCCAGGTGGAGCCGGAGAGCAGACACTGCCTGGTCACCTACAGACCGGGTAAGACTCAAGACTAGGGTTGTCGAATAAGTATCGATACTAAAATGTTGTATCCGGATACGATACTCATTTTCAAAAGTATCGATACCACCGACCCCTTCTCTCTGATTTATTTATGTATTTATATACGTTGTTTATGATCATTAACAAGACGTTAGCCTTGCTAGCTGCGGCTAATGGCTAATAGTAACATGCTACCATTAATCAAGTACGTATCCAACTCCGCCCACATCCAATCGGCCATTTTGATTAGGTCACCAATAGGAAGATCCCAGGCAGGAAAATCCTAATTGCTTCATGGCAATATAGACATTAATTTAAAAATAGTGAAATGAATATTTCAAACACTTAATTAAACTATAAACATATTATGTTAAAATAGTGTATATTAAATAGGTTTGTACAATAAGTCCAAACAAGTTTAACCAAAAAATATTTATTTCTCACAATTATGAAGGGTGGAGGGTCAGGGTTAGGGTCAGGGTTAGGGTTAGTCATTAATGTGGGTTAGGGTCATTAATGAGGGCCACCAGTCACGATAACATTAGTAACAGGTCAGTTTGAAAGGAAAGACACAATTCAGTTACATTTTGGGGTCTTTGTTTTTATCCTTGTGGTATCGAAAATGGTATCGAGTATCGAGTATTTTCCTGAGTATCGGTATCGAGTTGAAAATTTTAGTATCGTGACAACCCTACTCAAGACTTTATTAAAGTCAAAACGCAACAGTGGAGGAAAATGAAAAAGTAAAAGAGTAAAGTCACCTCACTGTTGGACTGTATTAGGCATTTACAGCACTGATCACAGAAATAATGAACCCCTTTGTTTGGTGTGGCCATCTTTTGAGGCGGGTTCACGTGAAGAAGAGGCTTAACTGTTTGAAGGGGACATATTATGCAAAACCAAGTTTTTAATCATTTAATGATGTATATTTGGGACTGTGGAGGGCCTATCAGCAGGCAAAGTGTGGAAAAAAATGACTCGGTCATGTTTTTGTGGGCTGCCTCAGTCTGAATCCAGGAGATAAATCAGGAGGTTTCAGGAGTGGGTAGTTTCTGACGTCATTAGCTCTAGCTCATTATAATATTCCAGCCTTTCACCTGCATGTTGCCCCCCCCCCTCAGCTTACTCCCCTATCTGTGGAGACGTGGTAGCGTGAGCGTTAGCATCGTAGCGTGAGCGTTAGCATGGTAGCGTTAGCATGGTAGCGTTAGCATGGTAGCGTTAGCGTGCCGACGTGGGCACACCTCCCTGAAGAAGTGGGTGGATTGCCTGTGTCTCATTTGCATTTAAAGAGACAGGCACTCCAAAGCGAGCGCTCTGAACGGGGCTGTTTTGGCAGGGTTAGGGTTAGGGTTAGGGTTAGGCAGGGGGACTGAACTGCTATTGGGCTTCATCCTTATGGGATTTTGACCAAAGCGTGTCACAATTATTAGGTGTCCCTGTTGGAACAACAACCATTTCTTTCCTCTTGGCTAATTGGAAACTTATCATTTTGTGTTATGTCAATACTATGTTATCGGTAAACACCCTTTATTTTCCTTGATTGAGCTTCCTGATGGAAACGGTTCTGTTCCTGCAGGCCGCTCCCACCCGTCTCTGCGCTGCGTGCTGATGGCTCTGGACCGGAGCCCCCAGCAGGACTCCGGCCAGCTGCCCGGCTGCTCCTGCTCGCCCGTGCAGACCTTCAGCGCCGGCTCCTCCTGCAAGCTGCTCACCAAGAACGCCGTCTTCAAGAGCCCCGACGGAGCCGGGATGCTGGTCTGTGCCGGGGACGAGGCCTCCAACTCCACCATGGTGAGCGCCCCAAAATGAGCCAATCAGATGTCTCATTTTCAACCAGGTTTTGTGGAGCACTTTTTTGTTTACACTTTCTGGACCTTACAGTTATACAGATAAAACTTACTGATAGAATTACAGATAAAACTGCTATCCTTATTATTGTTATCGTTATTATTCCTGTGTTTTAAAGAGCGAAAATATGCAAACCTGCTCCTGCCAGCTTGTTTGTTTTTAGAATCAGAATCAGAAACACTTTAATAATAATAATAAATAATTTTTGTTACTAACTCCAGAAATACAACAACATATACATACTGTACATAGAAAATTCCACACCAAATATAAATAAATATATACATATGTAACAATGTATATACATAGATCTAAAATAAGTGATAATAATAATGCCAATAAATGAGTAATAATTTACAAAGGGGGGGTGTCTGACTCTCTGAGGGAGGAGTTGTAGAAATTGATGACCACATGAGGAATGATTTCTGGTGATGTATTTGGGTGACAGATGTAAAAGATCATTAAGTTCTGAAGGATTTTCGGAACTGTCTCGGCTTGCTGTGGGTTCATGTTTCTGATAGGGTTTTCACGATACTAAAATTTTGAACTCGATACCGATACTCAGAAAAATATCCTATACTCGATACCATTTTCGATACCACAAGGATAAAAACAAAGACACCAAAATGTAACTTAATTTTGGCAGGTTAGTGTCTTTGGTTTCAAACTGACCTGTTACTGATGTTATCATGGCCCACATTAATGACCCTAACCCTAACCCTAACCCTAGCCCTCCACCCTTCATAATTGTGAGAAATGAATATTTTTTCGTTAAACTTGTTTGTACTTATTGTACAAACCTATTTAACATCCACTATTTTAACATGATATTATGTATAGAGTTGAATTCAGTGTTGGCGAGATTAATTTAACTATTTTTAAATGAATGTCTATATTGCCATGAAGCAATTAAGATTTTCTTGCCTGGGATCTTCCTATTGGTGACCTAATCAAAATGGCCGACTTGGATGAGGGTGAAGTTGGATATCCATCCAGACGTACATGTTGCCCAACCCCCCCTTTTGAAAATGCTTTTGAAAATGAGTATCGTATCCAAATACAACGTTTTCGTATAAATACTTTTTTGAGTATCGATACTTTTGACAACCCCAGTGTCTGACTCTCCCTCCTTCCTTCTTCTCCTGCTGCCTTTCTTCCCGGTATGGCGCCCCCTAGGTGTGGGATGCAGGCAGCAGCTCGGTGCTCCAGAAGCTTCCGGCCGACCTGCCGGTGCTGGACATCAAACCCTTCTCGGTGAACGGCGAGCACTTTCTGGCCGCGCTCACGGAGAAGATGCTGAAGCTCTACAGATGGGAGTGAACCGGAGTCCCAGAGCACAAAGCAAAGGCAGGATGCATTCTGGGTAAAACGTGGACATGTACATGCTGCTAAACATTCACACAGAGGAAGAAAAAAACAAACAAACCCAGGGAGTGATGGACTTGAGGAAACTTTTCTTTTACCTTTTTTATTTTTTTGATTTGCCTCATTTTATTTTGCTCATCTTTCAGGTGTTTGTGTTTTTTTTCTGGTTCTGGGGCAGCTTTGTGTTGGGACTCAGGTCATTCTTACATAGCCTATGTCAAAAGTTGGTCAAATCTCAGTCTTTACATCATGAAAATGGACAGATGTCCTCTTTCTGCCTTCTGATTGTCTTTTCATTTAATGGTTATGGCTCTACGAACTGTCATTTTCTATTTCAGACCAAAAGGTTTTGTCTTTGTTTTTTTAGCTGGAATGTAATAGTCATCTGGACCTTATTATTTAACTTTGATTTGACTCTTAACACTGATTTATCCCCAAGCAGGGTTTTTACATATCACTTGTCACATTTTATAGCAGCATCCCTCCCACCACAGCACAGGTAGGCTGAAAAAAAAAGGTATTTTCTGATTTGAAACTTGGTTGTTAAACTAGTTTTAAACAGGAAGCTCTCAGTCCAGGCTCTCTGAATATTCCTAAACTTGTTTTTTTGTAGCTAAGAAGTATAATCATGCTGAAATCCACCTCATAAAATAGCAGCATCACCACAAACATAACTGATAATGAACCTGGTGAGTTCCACTGGCCGCCCTGACCCAGACCCAGATTTATTATTCTCTATTTTTGCATGTTATTTTTCTTGAAGTGCCAGAAGCCAGCGATCAAACTTGAAGTGGAAAAAAGCTAACTGGAACGTGCAAACATCCATCTGGAAACGATCCAGAGACGTTAGAAACTTCTTCAGATTGTTTATGACCGCCCCGTTTAAATGAAAGGACCACCAGCTCAGAGGCCTTGAATTGACCACATTTCAATTCCTCATGAAAATCAAAACTCCATACTTGGAGTTTTTTAATTCAGTCCGACTCCCGGTCCCAGTTAAACAGCTGCGTTTCCCTCTCTGGCTCATTTTCATCGTCTTAAGAAAGACCTGTACTTTTCACTCCGAATGGAACATTAAGTGCCAAAGTCGACTATTGTAAATGTTACTTTTTTTGTCTTTTAAAGGTTGTATATATGTATATTTGCTACCAACTGTGTACAACTTCAAAGTTAATAAAATTGTGATTTATTTTGAATTGAATGGTCTTTTACAGGTTTTTCATTGGATAAAAAAAGGTGAATGTACAATGACGGAGGCAGTTCACATTCAATTTACTAAAGTTTGAAAAACATAACCTTATATACATAATCACTATGTTGACTGGTTGGATAATTCAAGCTCTAATTATATTTGGTCAGCAGCATAACAGAAGTAGATGCTGCATTCAGGGTATGCTCGTTCATTCCCAAATCAGATCACAGAGGACTTGAATACCACACAAATTCCATCATCAACTAAAGAATGGAGCTAATTTGTTCTCATTTAACTTTTTGAGTTTCGAGTAGGCCAGATTTAAGAGGCCTTTTCTTAAGAGCTAATTCTAAAATGTGTTTGGTTCCGTTTATTCAACATTGAGAAAAGGCTCAAATGTAACTATGCTAATAAAGTGTTTAATTTGAAAGCATCGTCACACAATACGTGACACGGCATAATTGAAAACAAACCATATATAAAAAACGATTAATTAAGATTAAGTAAGATAAAACTAAATATGCATTCAAATTGAAATGTGACAAATCAAAGACTTATGCGCTTAAAGAATGAGGTGAAAATGATAATAATTTATATCTTTCTGTCATTATATAATGCACACATCTAGATCTGATGTGCAACATAGAAATAATCTCTTTTTTTGTGTGTCCAGAGACTCATGCATGTGCTCTTTCACTCCCTTGAACACAGCATCAGGAGCTCTGTTCATCTGTGCATAAATGGGACCAAACATGAAAATATTTCCTATTAAATTGTATTTTTTCCAACTATTTAAGTACAAACTGGCAGGATTAAAAAGTTATATTATAGAAATGTTTATTGGACGTGTATTGCCCTCCCAAAACACAAACTTGTTATGATAAACTTTCCCTGCAGGAGTCTAAAATATATCAGTGCATAAAGTAATATTCGTAGTTTAACTTAATCAATGTAATAGTTTGATTATACCGCTATACCATCAAACCAGGGAGAATTAGGAACCCACTTTCTGGGTGACTGTTTGGATGAGTCAGAGTAAGACCGCAAAACGTAACCAAGTACTCCCGGTTCCCATAATTCCCGGACGCCCCTGAACGCAGCAGCAGGCTTAGTGACTCTGTGAAGATGGCGGACTGTATACGTGTTCCTCTGCTCCTGCTACTGATGTGCGTTTTATCGCCGGTGCTTCCAATTCGAGGAGAAAACAGCGTCGTCGCCAAACTCGCCGCCAATGCGGAAAGCCTCCAGAATCCCGCCGGAGGCCCGGGACCGGCGGTGGCGGCCAACAACCCGGTGGTCCCGGAGAGGAACCAGGGACCCGGGGCCTCTCTGGCCCGGAGACGCTCTACCGGCTGGAAGTTGGCTGAGGAGGCGGTGTGCAGGGAGGACCTCAGCCGGCTCTGCCCCAAACACTCCTGGAACAACAACCTGGCGGTGCTGGAGTGTCTCCAGGACAAGAAGGAAGTGAGTAGCCGGGAGTGGGTGTCGGTATTCGGGGTGTGTCAACCGTGCCAACCGGCGACCGTTAGCCGCAACGGTTAGCTAGCAGCATGCTAGCTACCTGATTCTGAGAACGTCACGCCAAATTCCGTCACAAAAACACGACAAGTTGGGACTATAACGCCACTGTCAGCGTGACACCCACAACAACACGGGACTAAAAACTCTGGAAATTCAATTTGCTGTTCGGCCTTGAGGAAAACCACCACGGACTCTTGGTTTCTTCACTGCTTGGACATTTGAAGTGTATCTCTGCATCCAGAGCAAAATGCTAATTTGATAAGATCGATAAGAAAAACAAAAGGACACCGTGCTTTAACGTTTCAATATGATGTTTAGAGTTGTATACTACGATATAGACATTTACACTTGTATTCTGGGGACCGTTTAAAGCCCACATGAGCCAGAATGCGTCGCTAGTACAAACGCATTTAATCTCAAAAGACAAAGAAAAAAGAACAGTTTGCTTGCTCTTTTTGTATTTCTAGAAAACCACCTCATAATTTGGTGACTTTTCAAGCTGAAATAGTGGGTTATCATAGCAAATAATTTATTATGAGGAGGTGCAACTCCACTTATTATTTCAGTTATGGATAACATAAAGTCACCATCTTTATTCTTATGTGAAATTCATCATGCATCTTTAGCCTGATATGATTGAGTTATTTAGTCTTGCAGTAGTTTCTGTGATTGCCACCTTGCCTTTGTGACCCTTTAGGCTTGTCTTAAGGACATCTTTAGAGATCAGCCCCCCCCCCCCAGGCCTGAGGCTGGTAGCTGGAGGCTCACTGGGTTGTTTAAGCTCATTATCTACTAGTCACCAGCAGTGAAACAGACTAAGACCTCTTTCCTTCCAGGCTTACATCAGGATGTCGATTTGTATCCAGATCTCCTTCCAAACGTAAGACTACCCTCTAACGGGAAAAAGTCCCATCTAATGCTTGGTGCTGAGATGGGTAAAACGGGTAGAAAAAGGTGGATAACGGACCAGGTGGATGAACTGGTTTGGTTTCACTTTGATGACTAAAATTTTGTCTGGGGAATTGTGCTTTTATTCCTAGTTTTTTTCTCAGAGATGAAGCGTATCCAATGTGGTGTGTTCCAGCCAGTGGGAGCCGCTAATGACCTGGAGCTGGTGGTTTATAAAACCTTTTTGATTTTCAGCCCCTTTATAGACATTTAGAGTTGTAACGAAGGCATTTATTTAGCTGTTTTCTCAGTTGGTTTCCCCCTCGTGCTCCGTTTTTGGTGAGTGGATCAAAACTCAGTCCCTGCATTAAAAGGTAAAAGACATAATTTTATCCAGTTTTAATTGTGATGATACTCCTTTTTCTGGAGTGTGTTGACATGATCTCATGATTATGACACGAGTTGGAAAGGCCTGTGTACAAATATCTCCATAACCTGCTGACATCTGCTGACTGATTCCTGTACAGACCTTTTCCAAGCACCACATCCCAATTTAGGGCCAGAAATGGACTTGAAATGTTCATTCTTTGTTTCTTTTGTCCTCGGAGGTGTTGTGGCTGGAGAAGCATTGCTGACTCAATGACTACTCTGATGTTTTTTTCTTTTTTTTCCTAACCCAGCCCAGTGCCTTGGATTTCTGGGGTTTTGATCAGGATCTTGGGTTACACAGTTAACTGGTGGATCAGGATTGGGCGCAGTATCTTTACAGCTCTAACATGCCAGGACATGAAAAAATAATTTAAATATGGAATATTTGAGATAGGGGTTAGAACCATGGCCTCACAGCCAGAGGGTTCTGGGTTGGAGTCCCGGGGGAACCAGGACCAGAGGGT